CCGAAGCCAGCAGGTTGTTATTTCCTGAGGGGTCCCAGACTGCGAGAGGGCACAGTCCGGGCTGAGTGACCCCCACTTCCCCCGAGTGCACACATTTTTGTGCACCGGGCCTCTAGTCCTATACAATACCGGAACAACCAGAGACCAGAACCACCATGGCCCCTCGCCACGCTGGCCCCATCTCCAAGCAAGTGGTTAGGGGCAATCAGGCAGGCCAGCAGTTAGGGATGATCAGGCAGGCAGGCCAGCAGTTAGGGGGGTCAGAAAGGCAGACCAGCAGTTAGGGGTGATCAGGTAGGCAGGCAAGTGGTTAGGGGCGATCAAGTAGGCAGGTCAGTGGTTAGGGGAGATCAAGTAGGCAGGAAGAGTGGTTAGGGGTGATTAGGTAGGCAGGCCAGTGATTAGGGGCAATCAAGTACGCAGAAGGCCCCTCGCTGGGCTGGCTCCACCCCCAAGCAAGCAGTCACGGGTGATCAGGTAGGCAGGTAAGTGGTTAGGGGCGATCAGGTAGGCAGGTCAGTGGTTAGGGGAGATCAGGTAGGCAGGAAGAGTGGTTAGGGGCGATCAGGTAGGCAGGCCAGTGGTTAGGGGCAATCAGGTAGGCAGAAAGCCCCTCGCTGGGCTGGCTCCACCTCCAAGCGTAAGGAAAGCCTCAATAGGTCCCAATCTCAGGCCAGGCCTAGGGACTCTACCAGAGGGGTTCCAGATTGTGAGAGGGTGAAGGCCGAGCTGAGGGACCCCCTTCTCCCCCAAGTTCATGAATTCCGTGTACCGGGCCTCTAGTGGTATCATAATCAACTTGATATTCAAAGGAACAAAGTGGCTAAGAGATATTTATAAAAATTAACTTGAATAATCAATTTTTGCACATAATTTTAAATGATATTGAGAGTTTATTAGTTTGTATATAATTGTTTCTTATGAGATTCTTCTCATATATTAGTCTATACATACTTGCCTTAATCTTTCTTCTCACAGACAATTCTATGGCTATTAAATCTAGAAGGCTGCTAGGTTAAACTTTTCATAGCAAAAATTGCTTTCCATCAATTGTACAATGTAATTGCTTCAACAACAAAAATATTAACGTAGAGACAAATGAGAATGACAATATAACATATCTGGGATGCAGCAAAAGCAATAATGAGAGGGACATTTATATCATTATAGTGCTATCTCAAGAAACAAGAAAATTCCAGTAAACAACCTAACATTACATCTTAAACTAGAAAAATAAAAACAC